AAAGTAGTTTGGGCTTATAAAAAATAATTTTTGCCCAAAGTATTTGGGCAATTTCGGCTACTAATAGAAGCAGTTTCGACCAGAAACCTTACTCCCAATTCTTTTATGTGTGTACAGGTGGAACAAGTGTTTTTAGTGCTTTATTTACCTCTTCAAGTATAGCATCTAATCCTTGATGCTGATTTGACCAACCAGATTGAGATACAACAGAGTTTTGCTCAATAAGCTGTTAAACTTCAGGATGAAGACACATTGATTGTTCTTCATCTGCAACCTCAATTGGTCTATATATAGGATGTTGTCTTGCTGGCCAAATTGGAGCAAAGATTCTTCATGATGCTGCTTTAAGTAAAGGTTGGTTATTCCTTATAGCAGTACAATAATTGATTATGGCTTGCAGATACCAAAAGATCTTAAAGATTAAGGGTAGGGTAAATCACGTGGCATGATAATAGTAATTTATAGCTCAAAGTTTTTTGATTGTCGGGTTTCCAAATTTGGTCATCGCAAAATTACCTTATAAATTTCCTAATGTTAAAATCGGTGTTATCACATAAAATAAAATATAATAATTTCAAATAATAATTCCACAAAGTAGAATAAATCATTGATTCTGCCTCTTCTGCAATGCCTACAATTTTTGAATCTAGTGTCCAAAATCCAACACTTGATTTATACAACTTAACTTCACAAATTATTTTTTTGGTTATTAAATCATCTAGCAAATGGGTTGCTTGACATGAATTTCTAATAGTACTATCATTATATATTGTAAGTGAATTTAATTTTTTGTTTATCAATTTTTTGTTTTTTAGTTGAAGGAAAACACCAATTATATCATCATGAGTAATCACATCATCAAATTCTTCTTTCATTTTTTCAACAATATTAGCAATTCTGATTGCATCTGAAGTTATATTAATCAATTCAGGATTATCCATTGCTTAATGTTGACAATTGCCACAATTATCACAAGAAGAAATTGGGATTGTATCTGTGGACCATGCATAATATGAATGCAATAATTGTTGTGAACATTTGTATTTTTCTTCACAAAAATACATGACTTCATTAAGTTTTTCAAGACTTTGTTCAAGGCAAATTTTTCTCTCAATTGTCTCTTCTTCACTTATATATTCTCTTTTTTCTGAAATTATCCAATATAAAAGTTTTAATTCACTTTTTGAATAAAATATAATAATTCTTGCCTGTGCACCACTTCTACCAGCTCTTCCACTTTCTTAAATATATTGACCAAGGCTTAAGGGAAAATTAAAATGTATTATAAGACTTACACCTGGTGTGTTAATTCTCATACCGAATGCATAATTATTTTTGTCACTTTATTTTTCCATTTAGATAATGATTTAATTCTTAATTACACACACTCTATTTTTATGGCAGTAATAGTGCTCAAGATATTGATCTGTTGTAGGGCAAGTTTTACTTCCCTTCTGGTAACGTTTTCTCAGCAGTCCTTTGTTATCTGCCTGAGCTGGCATGTCTCAATTATTATTTATAATATCCTAAGTATCTGCCTTGATACTTTCTACACTTATTAAATATATATATTTATGGCTAATTATTTTAAATAGGCATTGGCCTAATCTAAATAAAAATAAGAAAATAAAATTAAAAGAAAATACACACACAACTATACTTATCAAAGGCATCCCCCTGGTAAGATAGTAATTAATTTATTAATTGAGTTAGTTGGAGCAAATGGTTTATGTGGTTTTGGAAGCAAGTGGATTATTCCACTGGCAAGAGGTTATTTTAAGAGATATTTATGTTTGTATTTTTATTATTAAGATATTGTTGTTATTACAAGGTAAAAGTTGAGAACTGAAGATTACATGAAAAGAGAAATTTACAATGTATTTATACATGTTAAAGGTTCTATCATCTAGTTCTCTGATTTCTTTGAAATCCTAAATTATACTAATTAATATACGTGGGGTGTTTGAAAAGTTTTGTCACTGGCTCTGTAAAATGACAATCTTATGTGTAACTTTGTACAGATTTTTTTTAAATGAAAATAGTCATTTTTGTCTTTTAAATAAAAAAAAAATTATTAAATTTTGTTCATTAATTATAAAGCTATTGACATTTAAAAATTTGCTAAAAAAACAAATGGAAAATTTTAATTGTGAACATCAACGTTACTACATACTAAATCACACAAATAAAAAATTACATTATTTTCGAAATGGGAATCTCACATCATGTGTATGATCAGAATAAAGAGATACTAGTCAAATACGGATAACAAAAAAAGAAGCTTCATTTAATATTTATGCAAACATTGACATTTAACCAGATGGTTCATGATTTTTGTAATCATCACTAAAAGCTGATATGTACTGTTGTATAATAGGTTTCTCATCAATATTAGCTGATTTTTCAAGCATCTTTAATTCCCACCTCATTTTCATACGAAATAATTCATCTTCTGTCATATCTGGAATCATATCCAACATTCTCTCATCACAAAATATAACAGCTTCTCTGAACTTTGCCTTTTTTGATAATGGACCTTCAATATTTATAAAATTTTCTAAACTCTCTCTCTTATTCATTCCCATAATGCTATCAAATTTGCTTCCCTGTTCTAAAACAAAACATTTGATTATACTTAATGCCTTGCCACGGTCATCAATTACTGCAGTTACAATGAAATATTGCTCAACTGGATTTTCAACTTTGGTTATGAAAAAGATAGTCCACTTTTCATTGCAATATGTCAATACGACCAATACATCTAATGCAACATCTGCATTTGCAATAAGTAGTTCTCCTTTAGCTTGATATTCTTCTAATTTTGATCCTTGGAGCAATTTCTTTGTTTCTACATAGACACATCCTGTTAGACTTGGGCCAATGAAAATATCAGTTCCACCCTGTAATATAGTACAAGCTTTATTTAATGTTACTTCTTTTTTTGTAGATTTATGGACATCTTCAACAGAATAGTATTCTCCTAAATTTAATACATTTTTAAACCAGTTTTTGACATCCTGCATTTGTTTGTCTTCATCTTTGCCCATATCCCAATTGAATCCATCACACTCTATAGCTGAAGAGTCTGGAAAATCTCTGACACTAAGCTTTATATAGAAAAAAAAAATGAAATGAGAAGGAACTCATATTAGGAAATCACTGCTTTAATAGCAATATTGTACATACTCGCATGTTTTCAAAACCCATAGTTTTCTCAATTTTGTTCATCTTGGTACCACTCAGCTTTGATACACTTATCACTTCAAATTGTTTTTCTTTCATTGCTTTATTCACTGCATTTTCTACAATCTCCTGCAAACTCCTATGATCTATAAAAAAGAGAAATATAAGATTAAGTAAAGCACTATTAATTGATACTCTGGCATCAGAATAGAACCTTACCTTGTGTTTGATATATTTGATCTGCAATATTAATAAGAAATATAAGAAGTGAAAAAAGAGACAATATTGCAGTTATAGTTGTCAGATGTAAAATTGTTATGAAAATAAGTAAATTTTGCAATACTAAACAGTTCCTCAAATCTAATTATTCCTAGTGTGATAATTTTTTTACACTTCTAAGTTTTTATTGTGATAAATTATTAGATTATTATTTACCTTCTTCACCTTTAAGAGTTTTAATCAAATATGTGATTGATTTTGCTGGTCCTTGAGTTAAGCCATCATGCATAAGTTTTGCTTCGTTTAAACATAGGAATCCTTGACCAGTGACCCTATTCTTTCTGATTATTTCAATATCCTCCTCCTCAAGGTCAAGCTCTTCTTTCTTCTCTTGCAAAAAATTTATAACATCTCCTCGCTTCCACTTTTTGATTTCTTCAATGCTTGGAGTTGTTGAAGTAACCTCTCTGTCTTTCGTAGATGAGACAACACCGGCGTGCTCAATACCCTCCATAGAAGCTATTATATCGATAAAAATGAGTTGCTTCTTTACATCTTTACAAAGAATCTTCGCAATACGCCACTTTACCTGTAGATGGTTCTCTTGGGAAAGTCGATGTTTTTTTCTCGGATTTTCCTTCAACTTTCGAAGATGTACCAACATTGATAGTTTGAACATCCTTGGGAGCTATTTTTGTCAAGAGCAATGAGTGGGATATCTAACAAAACTGCTCGTATACATTTACTTACCCGTTGGAATTTTTTTCTTTTTTGTCATTTTAAGAGCACAGAATGATATAAATGGGTCAATCAGGTCAGGTCACACAATTAAATTTTATTACACAAGTGGAATTTACATTTTATATACATGGACGCAGTAACTGTCATCAAGATCCTTCCAAAACTTTGACTATAACACAATCAATATCATCTGTACTTAATCTTGATATGGATGACGCTGTAAAAGTTCTGACTTGGTTTATTTTTTCTTTACCAACGGCATCAAAAAGTTTATAGATTTTTCGAGCTTTTTCGGTTATTTTACGAAGAGCTTCCTTTGTAATTGTTGTAGGGATTTGACTACGAAGTTCTCTATTAAGTATAGCACTAGACGCACTTCCA